AAAAAAAAAAAAAAAAAAAAGCAGCTCATTTTTATTGCCACCTTGTTGTAGCTAAAGAAAACGTCTCACTTGATTCAGACAGATCATGTAGAACCACAATATCACTTTTCATATACATCACACTTGCTGTAATTTATTATAATATTTACATGATGTAAACATGGACATAAACACCACCAATTGCACCTGTGACAGCAGGTTGTGGTACACCTATCACAACCACGTTAACTTCAATTGTGAAACGAAATTAAAAAAAAAAAAAAAACAGTGGAATGTTAAAATGGTACTTATGCCATACATAACAAAAAGGTTTCCAGTTTCAACCACCTTATGGTTATATCAGAATTAGGAGCAGTTGCAATGTATATCAGGTGCCTCTTATATTATCTATTATTTTAATTTCTACAATGCAATAGTTTCAAGAAAGCTTAATGTTATATTTTCGCTTTGCCACTTAAAAAAAAAGACCAACTTCCATTTATAAGCAATAGGGTAAACGGCCATGTTAACATAATAGACATTACAGCAAGGGTGACAAATGTTCCCTAAAATGCAAACTTCTTAACACCGAACCTGATCAAAATGCATGTAATGATAAATTCAATTTCGTGGTTCAAATTACATATAATGATCTGCATCCAAGTTCTCCATCTGCTGTATAATGTACTTGGAAAATTAAGTCACCTGATTTTGGTCTGCAAGGGCCTTGTCCCAGTTATTTCTTTCACCATTAAGCACGTCTTTAAAACTTTTCTCCCCAAGCCTGCCCACCTAGCCCCCACCCCCCCTGTCACATGTGCAAAGGCTGGCAGTGAATGTTGACATGTTATGTACAGGGAAATCTGTCAGCTTGACTTAGTTCCCATTGCTGCCTGGTATTTAATGAAGAGGTGGGTCCTCTTTGATGCGGCCACCATCACCCTCCGATACGAACCTCTTGCGTCCTCTGAAAAAGACACAATTCACTGGTCAACAGAGTTTTGGTATCATATCTCCAATTCCAATTTGTCTTAACTCAAAGTACACTAATGGTAACTGAACATGACGACTATACTTGTTTAACTACATTTTCCCAGTACATTCTGGTGCATTAGTTACAAAGAATATTTATTTACTTACTTGTAACAAACAAATAAGAGAGGAAAAAAAGCATTACCCTGCTCATCATCACGATTGACAGAAAAAATGTTTGGTGTGTGAACAACATCAAATTAACCCTCTGTTTAAACACAGATAACCCCATTTATTACCTGTTTGGCATCTCATTGTATGTGGAAGTTGGCAGTGCTCCTGCAGCATGCAATTTGGTTCCAAAGCGGTCCAATAAATTGTATGCTGATGGTACATCAATACTGATGTCTGCAATGTTCTCAAATATGCGCTTAAAACCCTGAAATAATACAAATATTCATATAAAACTTATTTCCATTTTGAAATCTTGAAAAAAATATACAGAAATCAATTTAACTTGTTAATGGAAATTACAAACTTTATGGTATAAAATGAACAACTCCTCACTTCAACCACTAATATTTGTAAAGAATAGGACACAAGGTTTACAAGGTTATTTACTTCACTTACCATTTTCATTTGGTCAATAGATATGATATTGGTTTCATAAAGAGATTTGAGAAGTTTCACCATCATGTCTGCAGCACGTTCACTGCTGTCCTCAATCACCATCACAGTTGCCTGGAAAGAACAATGGCATCGGTAAGACTTTGCTTTTTGTAATGAAAAACAGATTTTATGGAAAGCAATAAGAAATCAAAAAAATTTTTTTCTTTTTTCTCCAATTTCCTTAAAAAAATAATTTCACAAGAAAGAATAAGTGCCATGTGATTAAGGGAGTGGCATAAAACCAGATTACTATTACAAAATCTGAAGATTTTAAGACAAGTGAATAATACTGTGATTTAAAAATTTACTTATAATTAACAAATTCTTTTTTTTTATTTGGAGGAGCAAGAGGGGTGTACGCTGACCCCAAAATAAAGTTAATTCTGGTAACAATCAAAAGAAAACTTTCAGGACTGCGTAGGCTCAGTGAACCACTAGTAAGTTAAGAGGAAACTTCCTACAGTCTACAAGTCAATGCAGTCACAAGAAGCAGGCATGGGCTGAATTTGAGGTAACCCAGAGTACCAATTCAACTAGCTACAAATAGACGGACAAATATTTAAGAGTGCTCCACGTTGCTGAAGAATAAGCTATTTACAATCACTACCTCATATACTAGCTCATGGTTGAAATGTGGAACTTCCAATTCCTTGAGACAGCGGGTTGCCTCGGCTATGTCCCCTGAGGATAAATACTCTTTCAGTAACAGCACCATCTGAGGAGGCAAAACATACTGATAATTCAAAGAAAAATAATCAAAAAATACAATTCAGAATTATATACATGTACTTCACACAATATATAAAAGTTGACTATATTTGCTCCAGCAAATGCAAAGTATTTGTATGTACAAATAGTAAAGAAGCTTAATTTTTGGAAAAGTGAATTATCCAATGAACCACACACTGCCACACTGTTAAGACCCACTCTCCACTGACATTAACAGAGAATACTGACCTTCTTAATCAGGTACTTGACTGGCCTGTTGCCTCCCCCCATGCCCCACACATTGTCCAGGCGCACAATGCCATGCTTCATGCTGAGCAACACATCAGCTTTGTCCAAGGCAGTCCTGTGTGAAAGAAAGAGTGAAGAAAAAAATGAATGTATTCTTTTTTACTATGAGAATTGGGGGAGGGGGGACTAACTGGTTATTTACACAGGGCAAATGTTTTACTTATTCTTTTATTTTTTTCTTGTTATTTTTTGTTCACAGTTACATGTAACCAATGCAACTCTTCAACTCGCAACTTTGAAGTAAAATTACCCATCTGCTTGGCATGACTTTGCAGATAAATGTAGTTGTACTATGTTTTATAGCCTGTTGCATAAAATGAAGGTTATTATCCTTCAATTAGCTACAGATTGCATTGGAAACAGATTGCTCGTTTCCATTGTGTCTCTGATTTATTGCAGAAAGAGAGAGACACGTGAAGCTTACATTGTGAAAACAACTGGTATGAAATTCAGTCTGGTTTACTTGTCATCTTGTTAATTTATCATTAAATATATTTCTGACAAGTTCTAAACCAGACGTGTAATTATTTAGAAACACTATGCTATAGATGTATTTTTAATTTGAATAAATCCCTTGAAATGATCTAATAATTTCATTTTTCTCTCACCAAACATACAACTGATAACTTATAATACATGACAATAACACACCCATTTTCACAAAAAAATTGTAGAACTATAATATTTACCGTGCATGTGGACAATCTACTTTTCCCTTATAGCTAGCCACATACTTGGGTGGGAGGCAGTCATCAGCTACAGCTCTAGCTATGAACTGTCCAATGACCTGAAAAGAGAACAAATAAATACATTCATCAAAATAAGTAAAATGTATCAGTAATCATTTCTGTGAATAATCCTAAAACATTATAACCTCAAAAGCAGTCTTCCTGATATGACTAGTTTTTCATTCAAATAAAAATACCCCATTCTCCTAGATAACAAAGTTAACTTCTCAATACTATCGCAAATGTGTAACCTTTCACATTGAAAGTGACTGCAGTGCCACTGTGCATGTTAAATCTTGACTGACTGCTCTCCAGCATATCCACCCTTTGGCAATTTATTCTGTCTCATATGTGTAGCCATCCAAGCCAATTTATGGCACCAAAAATGCAAAACTCTAATAACAACTTGACCCTGTGTCATTCTTTATTGTTCATCACTAAAGTCAAACAAAACTGCATACTGGTTTATCCAGTCTCTACGGCATGCATAGAACAGGCGTATCAAGTTTTCTTTGCCAAGTTTCTTTGAGTTAAACACACACACACTTGCACAAAAAACTAGCAGAAAGAGATATTTCCTAATGTGAACCCAGCACTTCTTGCCAAGCTACTAAAACAAAAGAGATGTTTGCACTTCCTAAGTAAGCATGGTCGACAAGTACAATAAGATATGTTATCCTTACAGTTCAATGAACAGAACTTATTTTAGGAAGGCACCTACATTTGGAGCATCAGGTGCGTCCAGGCTAAGATCTGTGAGGCCAGCCAGGAGCTGGTCAAAGCCCTTAGCCACATCATCCTGGCTGAGGATGTTGCCATAGAGATCCGAGATCAAAATGGAAGTGAGCTCCCTATGGTGAGCTTTTCTATCCAAGGCCAAGCTCACTGCCATCTCTGGAAGTTTGTGAGCATTTTCACCTAGGTTCATCTCCTGAAGAGAGCTCTGAAACGAAATAAAAACGGGAATTAAAGCGAGCAAAGAACTTCGTTGTAATAACATTATTTTTCTCACTGATTTGCAATCAAACCCTATTGCAAGTTTTGTTATTAGGACAAGGTTTGATGCAGTAGTAAAAACTCTTTTACAAGGAGCAGAGCTGCTTTCACAAAGGCCTTTTTCATCTTCCTTTACAAGACTTCTATATGCCTGCTGAACACACTTATTCATTATTATGCAAAATTGCCCAGTAAGAACTAAAAGCAGTTTAGTGAATCAAAACAAACTTAGTTCACAACTTATGGCTTTGGGTGTGCAGAGTTTACATAGATGATTATAGAAACGGAAAAATAATTGAAAATTCTAGAACTTCTTTACATTCTCGTTTCCAGCAACTTCATAAACATAACTACTGGTCTATACAAGTATAATTCATTAATAGTAAGCAGTCCCATACCAGGACATCCTCAGTGTCTCCACACTCCAGATACTCCTTCAGGATGGGCTCCACAACTTGCACCAGATCATTCTCTTGAATGGGGGGTTTGACTGTCTCCACCACAATATCCTCCTACAGTGAAAATAGAGACAAATTTCTGTGTTCAACATTTAACACTGCCTTAAGCTGCATTTTGAAATTATAGTCACTATTCAATTTTGAATTTTTAAAGAGAACAACACAATTTACCATTATCTATCCTACTGCTTTTTTAACATACTACTAAATGTGTTGAATTGCACTGCCAACAGTTTTCCAACATATTATAATAAAAGTAAAATAATGAAGTCATTTTGCCATGCAGCCTGTGTTTAAAAAGCACTCTTTGACAATATACCCAAAAATCATTTAGAGGGCTAGATGCATGCACTGTCCGGTAAGAGATATTATGTGGTTCAAGTGATTAGAGAGAATGTGCCTCAAGCAATCTCTTATACAGATCTCCACACTCCTATTCTAAAACTTTTGACCTGAGGATGGAGACACGCCATTAATGATTTTATCTGTGTTTTTGCAGCTCAAACATCATCACATCTTTTATCATCATCTTGTGACAAAATGCAAATTGCTTAAGGTTTCGATAAAACTGTTCTGACACTTCATCCAAAAATACATGTTTGGTATTCTGGCTTTATCTTTGCAATAACCCAGGTTGACAACTGTAAAGTTAAAGGCTAAGTGTTATTAGACCTTTAACAACATAGTTCTTTGTTGACCCAGTCATCAGTCATAGAAGATGCACATGTGTATTTTTACAGCTCACACACATACTGAGGAAATATTCCGAACTGACAACAGGCAACTGCACTGCTTGATCAGGCCCGTAGCCAGCGATTTTAGAGGGGGGGGTTTCGTTTTCTGAAAAAGTGGACCTTTTACCATAAAATCCTCAAGCACATACATCAAATTGTACCCAGAGTGGACCTTTTCCCAGCAAATAGGGCGGTTCTTTCGAACCCCCCGAACCCCCCCTGGCTACGGGCCTGTTGATATTAAAAACACTGCAATTTTTAAATTTCAATATCTCTAGTAAACCTTGAATTCAATTCTGGCACTGTCTAAATCAAGGTCTTACATAGGACAGGTGTGCTGTACAAAAGCTGGCCATTTGAAAAAAAAGTTATCAGCCAAAGAATCAGTTAAAGTGCTTTCAATAACTGGACCTTCCTCATCCATTTACACCTGGGGTTTTCTTTTCATACTTTTCTGCTTGCTTTTTATCCTGTTTGACAGATAATTTATCCCATGATCCCAGCAGCAGGACTAAGACCCCATTTCCAGAGATTAGATTGATCTACTTTAGATCGACCTAACTCCCTGGGGGTTCACGCTAAATAGCTGTCAGCCGGGCAGACATGAAAGTTAATTACCCCCTTACAGCTAGTAGTAGGCGGGACGGACTTTTAAGCCGGATTATCTGAAAGTAATCTAGTGAGACTCACCGCAGGGATAGATCGATCTAAAAGCTCTGGGAATACAGCCTAAGCCTACATGCTTGCAGAATAGTGCCTTGAATTTAGCCAGTAGCTTTAGACCTTCTCTAAAAGTTTAGGCTTAAAATAATATAACACTGTAAAAAAAAAAAAAAAAAAATGTCCCTTACCTCTTTTTCAGAGTCATAGTTAGGATCGTGTGCGTCCTGTGTTTCAGAGGTTTCGTACAGTTCAGAGCCTGGAGCCCCCCAGGTCCCCTTACCCCCAGCACCACCTGCAACAAAAAGTGAAAATAGCAATAACATGTGACTTCAGATTGGGAGGAGTAAGAATAGTGACCCCAGCACTGCCTGGAACAAATAGTGATCACAGCCATAACATGTGACTTTAAGTTGGGGGAGATTATAAGTACAGTGACCAAAATTTCATAAATATGAACTTTCATATGTATCTTTTTATGTACTGTGCTGTGTACTTGATAATGGTTATGTGTTGTACTTATGCTATTACAAATACAAAATTACAATTACAATAAAAAATGTTATATATATCACTACCATGTATTTTTCTGGGGACTTGACTCACATTTTACTTTGAAGTTGAAAGTGTGTGTGTGTGTGCAAGTGCTGGATATTGGACCTTCATCAGATGCCCTCGAGAAAACAGTGAGTGGAACTTTTAAGGACAATTAACAGGATATGGACACTTTGAGATAAGTTAATCTCTGTATAGTTGTACTTTTATTATTGATTTGGTTAAGTCAGTAGCTGTTAATAAATTATTAAGTGTTTAATTGTGTCATTGATTTTTGCTGAAATTTTGGGGTATTCTGACCCTTAACAAAGTACCTATTTATTAACTGATTAATTCATTTTACTTCATAAAGAAAGTCTTTCAAGATGACAGTGGTAGATTCTTAATTGTTTCTTTTTACAACTGGTGTGATGTAATATCTGCTGATTGATTTTGTACTGTTTAATAATATAACTCCAGCCAAAAAGAAAAATACTTTGAATCAAATTCTTTCATTTCAGTTAAAAATTCTTATAGGTATATCTTTCAGACATACTGATCTTATACTTTTCAAGTTCAACATGAATGCCCCGTCTTATAAGTAAACCATGCTGATGTTTTACTGCACGTAAACAGGCCTCTGTGGTTTCCGGTTTGTCTACGCACCTCCTGGCATGAATGGGGCACAACACTGGCCTGTCTACATCTCACTGTGACGTCAAACACCACATCTCAACACATGGCCAATTACTATCTCTGACCCTCTGTGCTGGATATTTATAGCATGTTTACGATCAGCTTGTTTACAAACATTTACCATGAGGTCAGGCATAAAAAGTAATGCACCCAACTATCTAAAGGATGTTCTTAATGAAAAACAGTTTTAAACTTAGAATGTTTACAAGGTTCACCATCTTCAATATATAACAACAGGGCAAAATTATTCTATACCAGGGGCACTCTAATAAGCCGTCAGACCATAAAAGCAAGCATGTGCAATAAGCACTTTATTTTAAATCCACACTGGCACAAGTAAGTTTTCATACTGTGACTCCAGAGTAAACACAAGGCTCTAAGAGTGTCTATACAGTCAATGCATAGTAGCTTATGTTATGGTTCTGAAGTTTAAAATGAAGGAAATTTATGTGACCCAATCAGCTGTTTAGAGATATCAAAATTCAGCAACACGTGCAAAAGCTTGCTAGTGCATGCAAACAACAGGCAAAGTAACCAGTCAACAACTATATGCGATTTGTCAGTGCACTAATATGTGGTCCTGGACTGGATGGCATAACTTTGGATATATTGGCAGCTGTTTCTCCTCCCATGCTATTCTACAATAGCCATCCTTATCATATTTTCCTGTTGATACAGCTCTTCTACCTGGATCTCTGCCAGGTGTGATAACTGCAATGGTGGGGTGATGTGTCAGTGGCCTTGAGCAAATGTGAAACGATATGCCTAGCTGGAGAGGGTCACCCAATAACAACAATACAATCCAGGCATGTGACTTGCAAACAAACAGAGCATGAAAATCAAAGCATGGCCCTTTGTAAAGTATTTACTGAAGTATTCTGAAAACATGCTAGGCACATTTAAACATGGGATTTAAAGAGTTGGGGGAGATAGAGACTTTTGGGAGTATAGGTCCTATAACATCACAATTATTGTGTAACAAATTCACTACTATTTAATGACATAACTGTTAGTGAATGAAATTGAAGGTAAATTTGTATGCATGCTCATAAAGATATGCCTGTGTGACCAAAATTGGAAATGACTAACTGGAAACTAATACTCAGGTTCTAGTATCAATTAATTTTAAGTCTGGAATTAAAATGACTGGTTTTTAATACAGAAATTTTGTCATTAATGTTGCTGAAAGTTAATCTCCCTCTCTTTAAACCAGAATTCCATGTATAGCTAAGGTATATCTAATGTTTATGTATGTTTGTAGGATGTCCTTACATTGTTGTGTGCAAACACAGAATAATGCATATATCAGACAAAGGCCTAGGTTTAAAAAAAAAAACCAAAAAACCTCTGAACATTTATTATGGGACCCAGCACCTAACCTTGACGATTCTAAGGAACCATCAGAATTGAATTAAAATAGGCGGAATTCCGCTTTTCCAGGAAAAAAGCTCATGTCTGATATATTTTCTTCATTACAGTTGACCTCTTTTCCTCATTACTTACAATATAAATTCAGTTGGCTAGGTATAAATGAGGTGTGTCAAATCCATGAATCCTGATTGGCTGTCACAATAAGCCAATCAAACATGTAAGATAATCTTCTAATCTTCTGAACAGACATGCATTAAAGCCCCTTTAAGGACAATCAAATCAATTTCCAAACTGAAAACCCCTAGAAAATTATCCTTGGTCACTTTCAGTGTCCATCAAAAATCACAAGCTTATACATTCTAATCAATATATCCTTATCTTTGCAAAACAAATTTAAATTCTTTATCAATTATACTACTTGCCCACTATGATCAAATTATAGAGTTACCTACTTCAAGTTAATAATGTACTAGTTGCAGCAAAGAAGTCATGTAGCATACTGGTGCCAAGTTTTCTGCCTCTTGCACACCCATTTTTATCAAAAGCTGTGCACAAATTAGAAAGGATTCCACTACAAGAGTTATAATGTATGCATTCTTGAAACTGTGCAAATGACATCAAGACATATTGATGTAAACATTCAGTGGCACCATTTAAATCAGACAGAGTTGTAGCTTTAAAAGGTCAGACTACCTCACAACTTGTCTCAATCTGCAACTGAAAATGTTTGACTATTCAAATGTATGCTGGATAAGTACAAAAGAGGTAAGGTGTAACATGCAGGGCTTGCAAAACTTCCACTAAGACAGCTTCCCTTTCAATTTGTGGAGGACACAAAAGAGAATTGGTGAACTGGTAAATAAACAGGAATGCTATACAATTGATTTATCTTACATATTATGTGTAGACCATGTCCATAGGACTAATTAATCCCCTTGTTTACCACTTAAACCATTAAAATAAGGTACATTTCAATCAGAAACCCTAATTCACGACCAACTTCCATGTACTGAGCACGCGTCCAAAATTTAGCCAAAACATACAAACATGCATGGGCATGCTTACAAAATACGAGAAAAAAAAACTGACACTCAAGCTGTGGAAGGAATTGTGAGCACTGTCAATAAATATTGCAAAAACAAAACGTGCATTAAACTTTTTAAAGGGCTTCATGCCAGGGCGTCTGACGTTCATTAGCTCTTTGCGTACCTTTCTTAGGAAGTCCTCGTCCCAGACCCATGCGGGACTTGCGCATGTTTTTCACGGAAACTGGTGGCAAATTGCCATTTACCACGGGTGGGTCGTCTTTTCTTGGGCTAAGCTTCGTAAGCCGTTTTGCTTTGCGAATCACTCTGTCCTCCTTTGGTACATCATTTTCCATTGAGTCTTTGCTAAAGAGCACGTTGCCATTTTCCACTTCGCCATTTTCCATTGGCTGCTCCATGACTGCTTGTTACTGGAATATCAACTCTGTAAACAAAGCTCAGCGAACGTACTTTCCACGCAAAATCCGCCCAAAGCAAAAATTGACCCTTAAAGACTAGTCCACGAGGACTGTCAACTAGCTGCCTTGACTTACACCTTGGATTAATAACAAAACACCTGTAACAACCTGCGCTTTTGCACAACAGATATGGCCGACCTCGAGTTGTTTTGATTCAATGTGTCACGTGACTACGACGAGTTTCGATTGGACAAATTTAGCAAGTGCGCCATCTGGAATAATGCGTTGTAAACATCCCCTTGCCACGTTTACATGCTTTGATGACTCAAAAAATTCCCTAAATAAATGATAATCATCGAAGATCTTACAACCCACCGAATTGTGTTTCGAGAATGAGAATTTGGGCCGAAATTTTTATTTTGTGAATTATAAATACAAACTAAACTAAAATGTTATTAGTTTTTCATTTTGAACATACTTGATCTTTCATGTAAACGAACGGCTTAAATAAATACTTGTAGAAAAAGGCTTTCATGTTTTGTCATAATATTAGCATAATCAAGATAGTTTTCAATTATTGAAGGGCGTAATTGTGACTAAAACTTGGTATAAAATACTTTTAATTCAATTCCAATACAACTGACATTCTAACTTAAATAAAAAAAAAATAAAGTGTTACCAAAGAAAAATATAAAAATAGAAATAAATGGTTTTTGTGAACAGCTTTCGTTGCCAAGTTCCACAACTACATATTTTTTAAATGTGAAAATAATTTCAACGGATCTTAGTTTTGATAAGATTTTTAAAATTCAAACCCCATGTTCATTCAGGTTATTTCAGAACCCCTTGAATTATTTCATTTCTTTAAATTGGTAAGAGTACCTTAGAAACATCCAATAACCATAAAGTCAGCTCTTTTTTTGGTTTGTCCAGAATCAAAAAGGTTTATTCAAATGATTTTTTATATACCATCAGGTTAATATTTAGCTGACCATACTGCATCTTTAAATTTGGAAGCTTACAATACCAACACAGAAGTGTTAATTAGTGTTCCAAATATGTAGGATTTAAGAGAAAGAGAGAGAAAATAAAAAGAAGCTGATAAGATGAATATTTATTTGAATATAATATCATATAGAAAGACTATAGGAGTATCTTTCTTATTTACATGTAGCTATCTATAAGACCACGTTTATATATACAGAAGCTTGTCTCCCTATCTACATCATTAGACAAGTAACATAACTATTACACATTCAGTTTACTTGGCATGAGAAACAGAAAATTGATAGTACACGATCCGAGTTTTCATTCATTCTTCACAAACACAACCCCAGTCAAAATCATACAAATCAGCATAGCATTCCAATTCAATATCTGCCCCAAAACTCAAACAGAAGCACCACAAAGTAATATTCTGTAATATTAATGGGGGTTGGTACCTGTGGCAGGTTAATGGGAAACGGTAACATAGAGCAATTGTCTAAAAGATGACATGATGTAGAGAAAATGACAGTGACAATAGAAGCTTCACAGAGCAAAATGACTTAAAACAGTGAAGACTGCATAGACAAATTTTCATTTCTACTTGAATTTGCACCCTTGTGTATCATACCCAGGGTAACTTGATTTATCACTCTGAAATCCTCACTGAATAGAGATAGTGTATGGCAGAGTCTACTCCACATGTCAGAATAACTTCATACAGCAATTTTCACATAGGAAAATGTACTCTCAAGTTATTTCAGTTTATGTCAACTTCATAACTAAAAGCATTTAAAAATGTTTTTTGCAGCTATGTTTCATATCATATGTATATATAATCTATTATGAACATATAAATTCTTTTGTTGCAGATAAACCATAAACATGAACACTTAACAAAAATCAATTCACATTAATGAATTAATTCCTTCTCGATCTCAGTCTTCTCTTAACAATGTCATGGGAACTGTCTTTCTTACATGATGTGTCTTCTGTGGAAGTAATTATCTGAAAAATACCCAAACAGATATGACATATAATGCAGATACATTGTATAACATCTGAAATAAAAAAATTCAGAAGGTTATCTAAAATTACCACTTAACAGCAAGTTTTTCTCAATCAACCCAATATTACCTTAATCATTTAGTTAATCTACTGAACCTATCCAGATAATAAATGCCAGAGACAGCCGAGGCAAATAACCCACCATGTTAGGAGCACAATCAAATGGAGCCGATATGTCAGTCTTGAACAGTTTCCTTTTCTTCTTCTCTGTCGTAGGTGGTGGTGGAGGGGAGGAAGTCGATGACGGAGACTTCACTGGTGAGGTCATGCTGTCCCAGATTTTTTTTGCTGTGGAGGTAGAGGTGAAGTCACATGATTTTGAGGTCTCTGAAATTTGTGTGCGCAGCAAGGAGTAAAGAGCAAGCTGGGTGTTATTTGGTTTCATTGCTCATCAACAAGCGTTAATGGATAACTTCACAAACAGGTTCCTCAGCTACCAGGATGCCCAGTGCTACATCAAATATTTCTCTCATATTATTTTAACAGCCAAGAAATATCTTTTATTCTTTAAAAATGCCCAAAAGAATACAGGCAATCTGATAAATAAGGAGCCGTTTGTTTCCAGTAAACAAGCATTACTTATTTTGCAAAAATCTGTTAGAGTAAACAAGAAATAAATGCATATTAAAAAAATCACACTTGAAGTTAATTCACTCTTGCAATATTGTAGGATTTTATTTCTACGGAAACTTCAAGTCGAACCACTCAACTTTAATGTTTGTTATTTTCTTTTTTCTATGTGAATAAAAATGTGTATTGGAGTATTAAGTTAAGTTTCATGTCACCAAAAAAAAAAAAAAAAGTGTTATGCCAGTGGTTGGAACAGCTGACAGCTAAAAATGGGAGTTGCCCCTTATCAACAAAGTGACTGCATCTTACTTCATGAAGAAAAATGTTCCGAGCAAGGACAATGTTATATCAGTTTTTTTTTTGGCTTTTAAGTTGTGCACATATACATGCCTACAGCAGTCATTATTAGTATAAAAACAAAATTAAAAAAATTCTGATAATACCTGACTTTCCTATGGGAGAGTTGGTAAGAATATTGCCCAGTTTTGACAGGCCATGTCTCTTACTGGCTCTGTCTTCTGACCTCTGGAACTGGTCCTGCTCCTGGAGTGAAACAAAAATGCTACACTTCAAAGAATGGATATAATTTCTTATTGGTATTTTAAAATAGATAAAGAGAACATTGGAGGAAATCACCCATTTCATGTGAAGCTGTTATATCAACAGTATCTAAATGTTAGCATTGTTCAAGGTAAACAATTACTATTAAAGAACAAAATTAAACATGGTTTCATGCAAAAACTGAGACTCTGTTTATACGAGCTGAGCATATATTTCACCTTGTCTGTGCTATATGACTGATTCTCTTGATTTTCTTCCTCTTTGATCTTCTCCACTTTTGACCTGGTCCTACTTCCTCTGGTGGCCCTCCTTGTCTTTGGGGGAGTTGTCTGAAAGAATTAGCCGGTTCTTTGTTAGAAAACTGAGATAACCATCTACAAAGCCTTGTAAATAATTATTTGGTCTAAAAAAAAAAAAAAAAAAAAAAAAAAATATATATATATATATATATATATATATATATATATATATTTTTTTTTTTAATAATAAAATATCTGAAAATTTATATTACTTACAGTAATTACAGGCAAACACCAAAATCAATTTTGCCATGACTAGCATACCTCAGCAGTCTCTACACTCTTCCTCTTTTTGCCACGTGTCGCGCGTGTGGTCCGCCTCGTCTTCGCCACCTCAGGTGTTGCATCTATCTCCAGGTGTGTCGATGTGAAGGAGTCCTCCACCAACACGTCGTCCTCGCTGACAGACACAGACACAGACCTGGTCCTAACAACCTGCTCCTAGGAAGAACAGCAAAACACTTAGATGTCATATCAACTGACTCAACACACAAAGAAAAAATCTGGTGCTATCTTTTGTTATTTGGCTTCCTCACTCCATAGCAGGGGTTAATGGAGAACTTCATATGGCACATTACTGATCAACCTACCAAATACTGTTTCAATCTTATTGTTTAAACAAAATCCCCTCCTCCGTACACAACTTTGCAGTCTGACATCTCATTTTCCCTTGGATATTGCAACTTGGTATATCTATTATTCTTCTTCTTTTCTTTTCCCCCTTTACTTATTGTAGGGGGTATATATTCAAGGTGGCATAATAAGCACACAGTTATCCAAATAGAACAGATAACTTGACACATCAAAAGGAAATTAGCACATGGCTGCCAGATGGTACAGGCGTAATTTGGCAATAGCAAAGGTCTACAAGCAGGTGAAAAATCTAAACAGGTATACAATGACAAAATAATAATAATAATAATAAAATTAAATATGCGCATGCTCATGGAAGGCTCTACGGTGAAATTATTAGAAACAAAATGCAACTCGAGCATAAGACAAAACCAACAGGAGTTAAAAAAACAAGATATTACAAAAGAAGCCACTTTAAGCTAAATACAGTGAATATACAGTTATCAAAATAATGATTTCAAAACTATCTTAGGATAGCCTTGAAAAATCTGATAGAATATTTTTTGAAAATCAAACAAAATGGCTCTTTTAGTCACTCTCATTAACATGCTATAAAATTTTGAAGATTTATCCAAAAAAATTATTTCTAAAGAGCTAACATTATTAAGACTCCAATGAGATATTATTGATAATGGTGAATTAATTTCTGGATGATCTACTGGTGATGCAATCAGAGAATGCTTTTCTGGATTATTTTGTGCTTTAACAAAATTGCAATAAAAAGGGTGGAAGAAGAGTATGTTGTGCACATCTAATAAGCAAGCAAATAAATGAAATAAGAACACAACATCAATTTACCTCAAGAATTTTGATGTGGTTTTGTAATTGTTTGTTTGCTTCAAGAAGATCCCCAACAATTTCATCTTTAGACAGATAGACCTTATCGAGGGTCTTACTGACGTCACTACTCCTTTCCCTCTCCCTCTCCAACTACAACAAGACAGTTGAAGCAGACCTTTTAACACTCAAATCATGCAACAGGGGGTGTGGTTAGTGATATAAAATAGTAATAATAATAATATAATAATATAATAAAAAGAAAGGCAAACACATAACTGCAAAGACAAAATCGAAGTAAAGATAAAAAGAAGGTTGGGAATATAATTAACATGGATTTTTGGGGGCTAAAGCAAATTCATAATGATTTTCATGCTCTTTGCATACAAAACCTTATTTGTGAATCAACTGTCACATTTCAGGCAACAGATGTTTAATACAGAAAGAAGATATTTTAACAATGTCTACCAACATAACCAGGCAGTCACATACTTTATATAAGCAATGCTTTAAGAGATTCAAAAAAGTGATATTTTTAGAGCAGATACTATTTATCTAGATACTGAAATGTTTGCAAACAGTGTGTGCACTTTTTTCAGTCCTACTATGGAGAACTCTGATACTGAACTACAGTATCATCTACACAGTCTGTGTGATGGGAGGCATTTATGCACAGGTTGAAGTCTATACTATGGGAGAAATAACATGGGCATGTGCACCTGGAGACCATAAAAACCCTATTAGCACACCCTCCCTCCATCTTCAGCCTGTATCCCACTCACCTCCTCCTGCAGGTTTTTCACCTCCCTGGCTGTGCGGTGATGGTGGTGGTGGTGGTCCTGTTCTGCTCTAGACTTCTCTCCTCTCTTGGACCTGCGGTTATTGGAGCCAGCACCCAGTGCTGCAGACACCCCCTGCTGGTTCAGCTGGTCTAACAGCTTGGATATTGTCAAATCCTTGTCTTTTACTTGGTTTTCTAAATCTCTCACTGTTGAGTACTTGACCTACAATTTGTCCAGAATGTCAAACATGACTAAACAAAACTCCAACATAAATTTTTAATAAATCAAAATGTTTAGTTCTCACTTTTCAGACAAACAATCTTTGCTCTGACAAAAGAGAGAGAGAGAGAGAGAGAGAGAGAGAGAGAGAGAGAAAGAGAGCTGATAAGATTTATATATCGATAAGGATATTGCTAATCACTTCATGAACAATTGCAAAATACCTCTCCTTCATTGCCACCATTTTCCTTGAGGCTCTTAATTTCTGCATCTTTGTCCTTAATCATCTGCCCTAGCTGTTTGGCAAGCTGGTCACGCTTTTCTCTGAACTCCTGTATGATAAGATAGATTGGAGCACAATGTGAACCGGTTTTGAAACCACACTCTAATGTCAAGCAATCGCCATAAACTAGTTCAACTGTTATGTTTAAATTGCTCCGAGCACCAGGTTGTGGAACTAGACAGAAGGGACACACAACTACCTGTGTTACTTCTAACTGTGATTCACACATAAATTTTGCCTACTAAAAAGACAAAAATTCACATATCAAAATATCTCTGACCAACTGACTTATTAAATACAAGTCATACCTTGAGTTCAGCCTGCTTCTTCTCTTCTGCAGAAGCCAGTTCCTTGTGCAGTTTATCAAGTTCCCTTTGCATTTCGCTGATGGCATCCTCCTTAATCTAAAATTATATAAATAAATAAACACTGTTTATACTACATTAATTCTCAAATGCTACAACATGCATATCCCATTTTCAATTCCGATGTATACACTTTGTTTAGAATTATATACCATTTCCATCCTTTTTTTTCCTCTCACTGACCTTGACCTGCATACTGAGTTGCCGGACCTCCTTGCTGGCATCATTCGCCTTCTGCTTCGTCTTCTCCAGGTTCTCCTGAACGGACTGCTTGGCCTCTGAGGTGGCTTTGTCCACTGCTTGCTGAACAACTTTCTCCTGGTCAAACTTCAGGGTCTCCAACTGCTGACGGGTGTCTGGAATATCAAACAGATCTGTGTTCACAAATTCATTGTAAACTTAACTGCACCAGTTAAACGGAGTGTGATTCAAAAACCACATATTTTGTAAAATGACAAAATTGATTTCTAATATCAACAATTCCCCACTCACTTTAACCAGGAGGAAATGTTTGGGTTTTTTTTAAATAAATTACTTTGAAACAATAACCTGATATCATACAGTCATAACGATACGCTTATTTATGAGTATTTATTATATAACAATGTATCACTTACCTGAAAGCAGTTTCTCCATTTCTCTCAGCTCCTGCTCGTTCTCCTTGAGTACTCTGTCCATCCTGGTCTTCTCAGTCTCCATCTTGGTCAGCTTGCTGGCATGGCCTTCCACCTGCTTCATCAGGCCCGTCTTGATCTCGTCCAGTGTCTTCTTCTCTGTCTCCAGGTCCCGGTACAGCTGCTGCCAGTTGTCAGACTCCTTGCTGGAGGTACGTTTACTGGACTGCAGCTCAGAGTGCCTTTCCCTGAGCTCTTCTAGTTCTGAGACAAAAAATTAAAGAGGGAGATTTATTTAAATTTGATCAACTTGACATAATATTATACCCTGCACCTCTTGTATTGAACCTAAATAGACAGCCACAGCAAAACCTTGACAGCTTATTGCTAATAAACTAACCAAAAAAGAAGAAATATATATTTCACATCAATATTTGAACTCATATTTTAAAATTTAAGACGTATTTCTGTACCTCACTTCTAAATTTTTATGAAAGGTAAGAATGATCATTCAAAGCTGCAAAATAATACCTAGCACAAGCACACATGACTCACCTTGAGAGAGGTCCCCTATCTGTTTTTCCCTACTGTTCAGCACCTTGTCTTGTTGCTCCATTACGCTCTCCTGTTCTGCAAGGGCCTCCTTCAGAGTCTCTATAAGCATTTCATTTGATTTGGCATCTGAAAAGACAACAAGAAATCATTGAAAAAAGTTATCCTAAAGAATTATGACAGATACTGAAATTGGCCTGTAAAAATTTAGATAAAAATGCACAGCTGGTGTTTTTATCTTCCACTGTAGGTGCACCTCTAATAAATACACACAAAAAGGAAATATGTTTTGCAAAATAATAGAAGTTGTTTATATATCCAACGGGTAATGTTCTCACCTTTAAGAGCCAATTCAAAGCTGTTCCGCTCAGTCTCAATCTTGGTCCAGAGCTCGGAGATAGTTTTGTTCTTGTTCTCAATTTTCTGGTCTCTGTTTCTCAGCTCTTGCTGCAACTCTTCAACTTCCTTGCCCTTGGCAGACAGGGCTTTCGCGTGTTCCTTCAGGATTTTCTGCTGGCTGGCTGACTCCTTCTGTAAGAAAGTTCAAACACTTTTAAAAGGCACATTCCATACAGCATTTCAGTACACTAACAAACAGTCAACTGGGTAATTATTTTCATTTTTTAAAATATCTTATCCAATTTGCTACTTGACAAACCAATTTGTGCCATGGTCACCCCGTGTTCAAGTTATTACAATGGAAAACAACTTATTAAAAAAATTAACTCAAAGAGTGCAGTATTCTGCTTTATGCTTTGATTATTTGGTTATAAAGCCGAAAGAAATTGGTAATATGGAAAAGCTAACCATTCTACAATAGTTCACAAGCATAGTAAGAGTACTTTGAGAAAGTTTCCACTAATGCCACCACCAAGGATCACACTGTGAGTGAGACAGAAAAGAAAGTTTACATAAGTGAAAGCAGCAGAAAGAATTATATGTGTGCCGCACACCTCTAGCCTAGCACAAGCAGCTGAATTCTCCTGTTGTTTCCTCTCGTACTCCAGCAGGCTCTGGTTGGCGCTAAGGAGCTGGTCCTCCAGCAGGTTGTACTTGCAATTCTGCTCTTCCATAGAGCGTGATGCCTCCTGGAGCTGACTCCGCAGGGTAGCCTCTCTCTCCTGGCACTGCAGCACACACACAAAACAGCAGCAGCAGCAGTATTAATACAGGTGGCTAGGTGCACTGCAGTACAAACTCTACATATGCTACTAAATCACTCACTTGATTTCTTTTCTTGTGTTATTAAGATCTTACTTTGCTTTCAAAACTCTGTCTCTCTCTCTCTCTATCACACACACACACACACACATCCAAACACAGCATTAGTCAAAACCAGTCTTTTCAACCTTTCAGTGTACTCCAAATGTTAGCATTCTGTAATTCTTGTTGCTCTTGCACAAGGACAGCATCCAGGCCCAAAATCAGTTTCTTGGATTTGTCTTTCATTAGTTGACATTCAGAAAGTCTAAAGAAAGCTAAAAAGGTCACGTATATGGGCAGCACACTATTTTAAGACTGAAATTCCTTACCTTCTTCAGGTCTTCCAGCAGCTCATCAACCTTCTTCTTTGACTCCTCCAGTTTAGAATAGTCCTCCCTCAGCTGAGTGGTGGACTCTTTCTTAGCCTGCAGTTCCTGTTGGAGCGTCTCCAAGTTCTGCTTGGCTGCCGTCTCGTGTTCAGTGGCTACCTTTACCTGGAACAACATATAACAAATCATTTTTAACACTAAATCATCTCCTTTACTAGGTTCTTGGTTCTGCTAATAAAATCAAGGAGACAATTGTGAATTAAGTTCAATGTACAAAGCTATTGAATATCCACTCATCCTTTATGTCCAACCAGATACAGAATAGAATTTAAACAGCAATTTAAACAGCAACTTTAGCTGTAATCCTAATGGACACGATCATAATTTCCTTCAAACTCTCACCTGGTCATGTAATATGGCCGTCTCATTTTTGAGCAGGTCAATTTGCTTCTGGTATTTTTGCACAGAGTCCTCTCTGCTACTGAGTTCATCCTGGTACTTCTGCTCCAGTCCCTCTATCTTTGCAGTCTTCTCCTCCACCTCCTGCTTAAGTCTGGCAACTTCAGCGTTCAGGTTGGAGACGTGGTCGCTTTCTTCTTCAGAGTCATCCTTCAATCTGACATTTTCTTGTCTGAGCGCGGTCAGAGTGTCTCTCAAAGTGGCCACTTTTGTTTCAGAGTTCTGTAACTTGGTTTCGTTTTCTTGTAAATCACGTTCCAGTTTTGCGAGTTGGTTATTCAGTTCCTGTATGGCACTTTCTTTGTTTCTGAGTTCTTCATTTTCTGAGGAGATTCTGGACTCCAGGGCTGACTGCAACTCCTCCTCCAATTTAGTTTTTTCTTGTAATGTCTTTTCACACTTCTGTGAAATGTCTGCCATTTCAGATTTCATTAAATCATATAGTTTATTTGCTTTGAAAAGTTTATCTGCATTTTCATTTTTCTCTTTCTCAAGTCGTTCAATCTCTTTCAGCAAATTACCCTCAAGTTCTGATGAACTTGCCTTAAACTGTTGGAGTGTTTTATCATTTTCTTCCTTTTCTGATGTAACTTTGTCCAATTTTTCCTTAGTCTCACTTAGCTCTGCATTTTTTGTTTTTAACTCTGACATAGCTTCCTCTAATTTCATCTTATTCTCATTCAGCTCTGAAGTTTTTGTTTTTAATTCTGACATAACTTCCTCCAACTTTTCTTTACTTTCATTCTGCTCTTCAGTTTTTGTTTTCAACTCTGTCTCAAGTTGAGCTGCAGACTGCCGCACAACATCCAAATTTGACTGCACCTCTTTTAACCTCTCTTCCACCATGGCATGCTCTTTCTGAAGTTGAGCATTTGAAGATTTTGTCAGTCGCCATTCTTCGTTACTTTTCTGCAAATCCTCCACACTCTTCCTCAACTCAGAAACTTTCTCTTCAGCTGCCGAGCAGTCTCTGGATTTAGCATCCAGTTCTCCCTGCAGTTCTTTCGCCCTTTGCCTCAGCGTCTCTGTCTCCCTCTCCGTGTCCTGGAGTCTGGAAGCCAAGGCGTCCAGCGCCTGGACCTTGGCCCTGTGGCCCTCAGTCAGCTCTTCCAGCTTCCTCTGCATGTCCTGCTCCTTCTCCACGTGGTGCCTCACACTGGCCTTGGACGCCTCCAGATCTCCCTCCAGGTCCTCGATCTGAGAACTTAGGCCCGCAGTCTTGCTCTCCAGCTGCTCCCGCGATGCCTTCAGTTCCTTTTCCCTTTCTGCCAGCTGAGACTTGAGTGTTTTTATCTCGGCAGTTCTTTCCTCAGTGACGTCTTCATTCTCGGTGGCAATATCTAAAGACATTTTCAAACCTGCAATTTTGGTCTGTGCTTCTTCGTACAGTTTTTCATACCTTTCAATTTCTTTTTCAAGATGGCACAATTTCTCAGATGTCTCACAGTGGACCTTTCTTTCTTTTTCCTGCACCCCTTGAAGTTTTTCAATCTGCAGTTGCAAGTCTATTATCTCTTTTCTTTCTTTTTCTTGCTCTTTCAGAACGTCATCATATTTGCACTTTAATGATGTCACTTCTCTCTCCTTCTGCTTGGCGCAGTGACCATTGCTGTCTTTGAATGCAACAAGCTCTTTCTCAAGCTGTTTGATTTTAGCTTCCTGCTGTTGGTTTGAAGTCGACATTGCAGCAACTTCATCAGATAATAGTTTGTTTTTGTTTGCCAGAGCCTTACTTTCTTCTTCAACCATCTGCAAGCGATTCAGAACTTCATCTTTAGTTTGCACTTCTGTTCTCAGGTCTGATTTCAAGATATCTATCTCACCCTTCAGTTTGTTGATTTCATTGTTCTTTTCAATGCATTCCTGTGAAAGACGATCAATTTCAGCATGCTGGCTACCTTGGGAATCTTTCAACGACTGCTGCTGTAGTTGCTCTTTTCCCATTGCAGTTTCATTTTCCATCACTTTCTGCTGTAGACTGGCAATAAGTGCTTCTTTCTCAACTAATTTTTCATCCAATTCTCGTTTCTGCTTCTCCAGCTCGCTGCATTTCTGTTCTAGTACATCCTTCTCCTTACACTCTTCTTTCTTGGAGTCTTCACCCTTCTTCTTGTCTTGTGCCAACATTTCCTCCAGCTCCTGAATCCTGTACTGGAAGATGGTGACATTATCGGCGGCATTGGCATACTTCTCCTGCTCAGACTCCAGGTCAGATTTCAGTTCCCTCACCTGGGTCTCCAAGGCGGCTACCCTCTCACAGGAGGCTGTCAGTTCAGAGGCCTGGCTCTGGCACAGCACAGACACATCCTGAGACTTCTGCAGACCAGACTTTGCACCCTCCAGCTCAGATTGCACTTGCTTCAGCTTCTCCTCCATGGCAGAGACTGCAGCCTCATGGGTCTGCCGTTGCTCTGCTGCCTGCTTCTCCAGGGCTTCAACTTTCTGTATCATTGCAGATTCCTGGCTCTCCAGCTGGCTTTTCTTTTGGTCCAACTCTATCTTTGCATCTCTAAGCAGCTGATTTAGTTCAGAGACAAAGGACTCGTGATCACTGAGGGATTTCTTATACTCTTCAATGCTCTCCTCTAGCTTAGTGATCTGGACCTGTTTCTGTTGAAGCTCCGAGTTTGTCTGACCGACAGACTCCTCTAGAGCTGCCACTTTGGAGGTTAGCATGCCAACTGTAACTTCCTGTTTGTTTTCATTCTCTGTGAATTAGGAAAACAAATACAGGTTAATCCCAAGCTAACAAATACTATAATATCTAGAACAAATTAACAGTGGTCAATTAATAAGGTCCCCGTCTGCTCCAGCTTCACATCCCCCAAAAGCACCTAGACCAAAAAAGATCCAGCTATTAGTTTTCTTCCCCATTAGGCACTTCCCTAATTGTCCAACTCACAGCAAGCATAGAAGAGTCTATAAGAAAAAACACAAAACAAAAATTAGTTTTTAAGATTACATTTATTAATAAATAATTTTAATATCAATTTAAAAGTCACAAACGAAATGACTGAAGTCTACACATTAAACTATCTAAAAAACAAAAATGTAATACTGGGAGTGGAATAAAGCACCAGCAATAATCAATAATACCCTATATATTCTACACATAAGACATTTACAAAAAACAGTGAACAAAATAATATATTAAAATGCGTCTTCACAAATAAAATTCGATATAAAATGCACCACTTGTAGAACAAATTTTACATAAAGAGATCAATCTGCACAATATTTTGTCACTACAATGTTTTAACTAAGACTTTGAACGTAAAAAGTACACTGTAGAAACCCTGTAGAAAGGACAGCTGTGTCACATGCTGTGGCACCATCACATTTTTATAATCAGGTGACAAGAAAATAACATGATTTTATGCTTTTTCACTGGAACTAACCATTTAAAAATGAGATCTTTTTTTTTTTTTTTGAAATTCACATTTTGTATTTTGAAAAATTAAAAAAAAAAGGCTTTTGCAAGATTCATAAAAAAATTCAGGCAAAGGGCAATTTTTTCTTGGTTCTGGATCTTAAACTGTAAGGTTTTAGGAGACTGGACTTTCTCTTAGCAATTTTACTGTCAATAACCTTGCTCTTCCTACGCCCTGGTGTACCTCCAAAGAGGGAGGACCTTTTACGCTTTGAGGCCGAACCGAGTTTTTCATCAGTCTTTTCCTTAGATTTTCTTTTCAAGGGACTTTTGCCCATTAAACGAAGAAGGCTAGTTTTGGTATGCTTTGCAATAAAGCCACATTTCGAAGGTGTGAGCTTAAGTCTCATACTATGAGCAGCAGCCTCGTGGGCTTCTTGTCTTTCATCGTGTCTACTAGGCGTTCCTTTGGGTGTCTCTACTTTCTGGTCAACTACAATTTTAGGCACAGGACTTGAGGAGATGTTGTCCTGAGTATTACAAGCTGCCAGTGAGGGGCTGACCTGGGTTGTAGTGTGACTTGTGCTAGGTTTACTACCTGATGTAGTCTCTAGCTGAGACTGAAGCTCTTGGATTGTCTTGTCTCGGGCATCCAGCTTAGTGTTGGCAGTCTCCACAGCCTCTCGGGTCTCTTCAAGAACCTTGTTCAGTTCTTCAATGGTCAATGCCTTTAAAAAAAATTTAAAAATCTGACATCAGAACTGAAGGTGCTACACCAATATTGAAGTCTGTATAAACACAATAGCACATTTTAGAAACCTTATAACTTATTTCACTTACGCATGCAAGTTTGAAGTTTTTTTTTCTTTTAAAATAGGGATAAGTATGCTTAACTTAGCAAAACTTAAAATTACAACATTAAAGGCATAATAACTCTTTGTATGAGACCTATATTTCACAATAAAAACCTTGTGAATAACTCATAGAAATATAATATATTCTGTTTTACCACAAAAACAGCAGTTATAGCTTTTATTCTGATATTTGAACTTGTCTTTAGACCACGTGACCTCCATTGATGTCTATACTCTGTTAAAATCTCTTAAGAGATTTTAACAAAAAACCAAACTTTTTAGAAAAAAACCAGGGACTAACTTTGAATGTAAAAATGGATTCATTAACCATTGGTAAGCATGGGAAAATTGTTGTTTACTCCAGGAAAATTCATTTTTTGGCCGAAACGAAGAGTTATTATTGCTTTAAACACAAAACAACAAACATATAACTTTTTCTCATTGGGTTTGGGAAAAACTTTAACTGTGTGTCAGAGTGGAGAGTGGTTGTCAGCAGAACTGTCATTCCAATATTTTAAGGGTGACGTACAGAACACCCAGCACTACCTGCTGTTCAATCTTCTCCACCTCCTGTGATAACGCCTCCTTCAGCTTGCCGATCTCTTCCTCCTTCTGCTGGAACGTCTCTCCCGCCTCTGTCAGCATCTCATTCAGCTCCTCGGCCTCTTTACTCTGGGGGAGAGAAACCAAGCCAAACTGTTAAAGAATTGTTTTTTAACATTTTGTCATTCTTTATTTTGACTCTTTTAAAAACATTCCCCACCCCTGTCGACAATCAACTCCTTATCTTTTTCATTCAAACCTTAGACAATCATCCTTTATTGTAACAGATCAATTAAGTTACCACCATTAGCTGTAAACTTTCCAAAAGAGTTTCCAGTTACCTTCTGTGCCAACTGTTCTTTGGAGTGCTGGAGTTCCCTTCCAAGATTCTCCATTAGCTCATTAGTTTCAATGTCTCCTGAATTAGACCTCTTATGTTCCACCTGAGCCTGGCAGAGAAAGAAAGAATGAGTGCTCCTTTTCAATAAATGACAAGTTTAAGATTTAGTGTTAAGATAGCTACCTGATTGCTAAAATTTGAATTTCAATAACAATTTAAGTACTAAAAAGGAGTTATTTATGGAGAAAAAAATGCTTGCTCTTACTTGTGTGATTTTCCTCTTAACCTCATCCAAATCCTCCTTGGCTTTCGCCAGTTCAACTTCCAAACAGGCCTTTTCCTTTTGTAACTTTTCGCAGGCCTCTTGTTCACTTTGGACATTTTCCTGAAAGATGGAACATATTATAAAACCAAGACTCTAGAATTCAAAAATCCCCGTTTTACCTGACCAACAGGTGGAGCAATTGTGCAGATGCTGCAAAACACATGGAGGATTGGATGTCTTTTTAATGCAAACAGTACCAAGTTCCAGGCTTTCATCCTAGGCCAATCAATGGGGTAGAAACACAGGCCAAGCCAATACACTAAAAAACATATAACCTAATAATTTTGCTATCAGAGATAAACCCGACACGCTGATTTAAACTTCTGACCTACCGACTGCTTGCTCTTGAAGCTGGCCACTTCAAACTGCAATTTGGTGTTTTCTGCCATCAGGTTGTTCTTCTCGGTGGTCATCAGCCTCATGTCCTCCCTGCTGGCCCTCAAGTCAGCCTGGAGACTGCCCAGCTTGGTCTGCAACTCATGGAGCTGCTTCTCCAGATCCTGCACGAGGGGGAAAAACAATGAAAAATACTGACATGGAAAGGGATACTGCTGTAAAAAATAAGTCTTTTTTTCATCCTTAGCATCAAACCCATGAAGCAGATATCATAAAATCAACAAGAACCTGGAACAATTTTCAGTTTGATCACATTGGCCTCTAAGTGAAATGAAACATACAAGAAAAACATTCAAAACATTCCATCTTTGTCCTTGCTCAAGTTAATTATTCTGTATGACACTTTCTCTGGAAAACATGGGCAGGTGCAGTAGCTCACCTGATTCTTAATCTGAGCTGCATGTAGCACCTGGCTGGAAACCCACTCATCCTCCTCGTCTTCAAACCTGTCCACCCGCGCCCTTTTCCTGGTCTTCTTCACAGACTGCGTGAACATCTCGATCCTCTTCTCTGCCTTCTCCTCCACCAAGATGGTCTCTTCTCGTAGTCTTTCGCTGACAGAAACAATAATGAGGATCATTTTGTTAATCTTGAAAATGACTGAATGACACTCTACTCAGACTGTATATAATTCAAAAACTGTCCTAGAAAACTCATTTGGTACATGAGCATTTATGAGCAAAAGTGATGAAGCTGATATTGGGGAACAAATAAATTATTTCAAAGATAGGTAAAAATTTATGCTCAATCAGTCCAAAGGACTGGCAACAATTTCAAGGGCCAGCATTTTGAATTAACAGTCACACTGGCAAAACAAATTGAAATTGCTGACATGTCTGACATATTACACTCAGTTACCTGTACTGGTTCTCAATCTGTACCAACTGTTGCGCCATCTCCTGACACACCTCCTCCCGTATCTGAGCCTCCATCTGGGCCATCTTGCGCTTCTCAGACAGCAGGTCCTTCTTCAGGGACTGGATGATGTCTAGCAGCTCCTACAAATGGGGGCAAATGACACAAACTGGGTGAAAAGTACGGCAAACATACTAACCACAGAGACCATTCTTATCTTTGACAGGTTCACATATATTTTTACATTGAACAGCACACTGAAGATGCATCATCCATAAACTACTGGATTCATAACTAATGTTTTCACATTTCTTCAATCAGATGAAAAAAACTTTCATATGAAATTAAAAACAGGACAAAGACAAATTAAACCTATATGTTTTCCAGATAACCATTTAAAATTACATGTAGCTCTCAGCCCTGTTGTTACCCACATGGTAAAACACAGGGGGCCATGAGATATCTGCACACTGACTTTAGGAAGCCAGCACTACGTGAGCAAGGATATAATTCATCATTGAGCTAGCAGACTCAACATTTTACTATAGATTATATATAGAGGGAGAGAGTAAAAAAATTACCTGTTCCCTGTCTGTCTCAGACTCCTCAAACAGGCCGTCCTCATCATCCTCTGGAATAGGCAGGTTCATGGCCTCCAACATTGTGCCTGTGGGAGAAAGAAAGCGGGACACCGGTGTCATGGTCTCATCTTAAGTAAGCCAAGTGCATTTTTCAAATCCCTTTCCTTGCTGGGTTGGTTATCATGACAACATCTTTTTGGAAGTTGTTATTTACTGTCACTAATTTAAATGTTCAATTTTACAAAATATAAATGAAAGTAACGTAGGTGTTAGAGCAAGATTTTTGGGTGCAGGACTAATTAAAGTACTAAAAATAACATTTGATGCCAGGAAATTTTAACAGTCTGTTCTCTTAGTGAAAAATTACAACAGAGATCTGTTAGAAATAGTCATCAGAGTGGCCCATACCAGGAGTGGCCCAGCTGATGGAGGGCCTGACAGCAGAGGATCTGGGCGTCTGAGCCAAGGCCATGGAAACCAAACGAGCTGCATTCCTCGTCTTCTTCTTCTCTTCCTCTGGGGGTTTCTGTATCACAACCACCTGATAACACCAAACAACATACAAGTCCATTAATACCTGAAGGTCAAGGTAAAGGCTCACATATCATCAGAATCACATTTAATATACATTTCACTAATAAATTACCATAATCATGAATAAAAACTTAATTCTCTCTGGAATACAAATAGGTTTTGACAGTATTATTATTTGTTGAAATGCTATTCTGAACTTTTTCAAGTTACTTAGAGTACAGGGAGCAAAGAGGGTATGGAATAAATAAAATATCCTAGTGAGACGTGAAAACAGGAGATTCACAAACAAGGTGGAAAGTAAATGATAAAAGAGTGAGACGAACATCCAAATTTCTGATGTCCACCACCTCCTCACCTGTTTTGCTATAGCTGAGAACTTCAAGACGTGAAGAGTTTCATCAAACAGGGAGGCACACTGGTTCACGTTCACTATCATGGCAGCCTTCCCTTTGCCACAGAAGAAGTTCTGGAACAGTCGGGTGAGTTTGCTCTCACGAAAGGGAATAATCTTCGGATGTTCTCTAAACAATGAAATAACATTTTTTTACAGAAAAGGTTGACCAAATGAAATATTGTTGCGCAGCTTTTACATTTTTGCCATTTATCAAAGTTGAAAAATATTTTAGAGGTCAACTCAGCTATTTGGATAAGAGAATTTTTAAGGATATATATCTTAACATACTTGAAATCTCACAAGAATGATGGAACTATCATCACTAAGATAAAGGATCTCTTCGGGAAAACCAGTAGCAATTCTTACTGACTTGCAAGTTTGAGCAAGTTCATTTTATTATTTCAGCTGAAAACATTCTTGCACACTATATGCAAGGAAATAATTAACACCTACTTGTGGAACTGATTATGTTTAAGTGCAGCAATACATCTCCCCAGCGTGAGGAGGGAGGTGTTGATGTTCCCAGCTTCCTTCAGTCTCTCTCCTGTATTGTGAGTCTTGGTGTAGCGCTCGGATCCGGCCAAATCGCAGAAAGACAACCTAGACAAAAAATCAATCAAAACTCGATTGCATCAACAATAAAATGCTAAAGACCAAACATATCCAGACTTATTATATCTGTTTTGTTAAAAGACCAGCTGAACAGTATTTCATTATCATCTCATACTCACATGCTGATTCTAGCTACATGGGGATCATCTTTGGCAACTACACGCAGCACCTTGATTGTGAAAATACAATGGCTGAAAAAAAAAAAAGATAATTCCAATATTTACCAATATTGTAGTGTATCAGTCAGAAAAGAGGAGAAATTGAATTGACAATGTTACTTATTCGCCAGTAGTCAAGCATGATTTTGGATTGCAAGAAAAAAAGTTGGAAGAAATGGCTTCGTGGTCATATGATCAATGAAGTTCAACTGTGAAGAAAAAAATGTCAAAGTTTGAAATACTCATCATCCTGCCTACGACTTCAGAGCATACTGAACACTGTATCAGATGCAGAAGTTACAGTTTGGAAGAGATCACATACCTTCTACTTGAGCTGTGGTTGAGCTTTGTGCAAGCCACCTGTAGGTTCTTCTTCCCAATGGTCAGTACCCGGTAAGCTTCATCAGCACTGGTCACCTGAACAGACTTCAAACCTGGAAACATGGCCAAAGTTTAGTACAATTTTTGTCCTGTGATTTACCCTACTGTTCTATTTCATACACACAAAAGAATATTTTACCATGCCCAGGCATGAGACCAGTCCTCACTGAAAAAGTAGGATTTACACAATTCACAAGAATGACTCTGAAAAAGTTGGAATTCCGACAAAAGTTGGAAAAGTCTCATCAGTGCATGCCAATTCATATATAATGCACAGCTGACACCCATCTCACCTCTAATATATGGGCTGCCATTCTTGTCCTCACTAAGTTTGAGAGTAGGCCGCCTAGCATTTTTCTTCTTCGGGAGAGGTTCCAGTAAGTCGTAGATGTACTCGTTGTAGACCTCAGCAAAGCTGACCCACACAGAGAACTTAACCTGACCTTGACCTTCCACACTTATCGCCGCCTCCTCACGAACGCGGTTCTCTGCCTCCTCAAACAGCTTTTCCAGGTTCTCCTTGTCTTCTGCAAGTCCGATTATATAAATAAATGCTAACAGCCATTTGCATACACCATCTAATTTAAAGTAAGTAAAAAGTTTCTACAAAGTGTTGTAATGTAATTCTTCAGGAAATACTAAAAGTTTAAAGACAGATTTGACTAATTCTTCAAAGGCAAAAATGCATACTGATTTACCAATAAACAGTTTAAGGGCTAAAATTATGTTTGTCCTATTGCAAACCCTTATAATTGACTTCAGGAATGCACAATTTTGTTATGATTACAACTACACACACCATCTTCAGTCTCAATAGCTGACTCTACTGGATTGCTTTCTTGACTCTCATCCTGGCTTGTGGCGGTGGATGTGGAATCTAGGCTTGGAGCCAGGGACTCTGCAGAGGTCCGCGTGCTGCAGCTTATTCTGGACATGTCACTTAGGTCATCTCCAAGGAGACTGGTCACGTCGGGCTCCTACAGGGAATGGAACAGGAGGTCAAACAGTGAAACCAGCCACTAACAACTGAACAATAATAACAAATGAGCATTCAAATTTGTAAAAAAAAAAATGTTCATGACATAAATTATAATCCACTTGTACTATCCAAAATCATAATTCATGTCTATTTCTCTGCACTGGTTATTGTAACCACTATAAAAATTGTATATCTATAATTTGTTTGACATTATCACTGCTTATCTCTACACTTTGATCAAAATGTTTGTCACACCTCTGGAGTGGCAAGGCTCATGACATTCTCCTTGTTTTTCTTTTCTAGTTCTACTTGTTTATCTGAGAGCTTGACGACGTCAGTGAACATCCTTGGTTTCAGACTCATGCTCTCCCACTGCTGGCCGTCTATACTGTTGAACAGCACGTCCAAGGCCCTGGGAAGGATTCCGCCATCTTTAGGGTTACCTGGAGTGTGGGAGCATCAAAATGATTACTTTTCATACACTTTCTGAGTTGAAAAATTGGTGTACTGACATTTCAATGGCAATGTCCGAGACTAACCTTAGGAGTGTTTTACAAGCATTAAAAATAAATCTTAGTTGTTTTTAAATACACTGCAAAAAAGGCAGCAAAAAAGGGGCCTTATCTTTCCCAATTCAGTCCCCAAACACAAAAAAAACCTCTTATTCAAGTTTACCTGAAGTTTACCTGTTGCTGAGCTTTAGAATTTCAATTAACCATGATTCCTTCAGAACCACCCATATTTTTTTAATTAGAAATTTTGTAGAACTATAATTAGTGCGTAGCAGAAAATGTTTTTTCCTTGAGGGAAATTAGACTTGGAGTAAAAAATGTTATACAGAACACCTTTCAAATAAAGTGTATTATAATGTAAACACCCCACTATTAGTCATAGCACAATTTTAGAAATCACCTTGAATAGTGTAAGTCTTTCCAGAGTTTGTAACTCCATAGGTAAAAACAAGGCAGTTCTGCCCATCAATAAAGTCTTTCACAGTGCCAAGCATGGTCTCATCAAAGAACTGTTTCTGTTCCGTTCCCTCTGAGAAGATCTTGGAAAATGTGAACTTGTGAGTCATTTTTCCACAGCCATGTGTGCTGTTCTTGAAGGTAACAGACTCCTTTGGTGCATGCATGACCAGGTTGTTGATATTCTCAAGTTCCATACAGCCCTGAAAATGAAGAGAGAGATCAATATTACCACTAAATTTAAAATATTGTCATACAGTGGAACTTATGAAATTTCAAAAATCTGAAATAGCATTTATAAAATTTCCAAACCATTTCAACTCTAAGTTGAAAATAGGATATCTTTCCCTTCATCTGATTCATCAAAATTCTAGTTCATAACAAAACAAACAAACAAAGAAAAATAATAATTAAAAATAAAGATCACCATGTTACCTGATTTTCATTGTTTTCCTGTTCCTCTTGAGTAAATGGTCTAATACGGAGGAAAACCCTCATGTGTTCACTTCCGGGATCAACATTTGTACTAGAGTTGGCCTTCATGGGGGTTGGGGCTAGATCATCAAACAAATTCTTGCGAGCACCCTTATTTAATGTGGCATCCATATCGCTAGTCTCTCCAATGCCCAACTCCTCCTCCGTTTCCATGATTTCTATATACTTTTTTGTTTCAGACTCCATGCTCTAATCCAAATATGTCACTAAAAGGCAGCTTCTGCTAAAAAGAAATTTGATGCAATCAAAATGTGTGTTTTTAGGATTCATCAACAAATCAATGCAAAAAGTCTCTTGCACTTTTATTTATTCTTTCTTAAAATCCCTAGTGAGTGCAAAGGCTTCAAAGAATACTTCGTGTTTGCAAAATATTGGTTATATACTGCTAGGACTTACGATACTAAATTATTTCAGTTTTTG